AAGTTTCTCTTTGTGTACATACCGTGTGTCTGTAGTTGTATCTTCTAATAGCCTCTCGGATGTGACAGGGCTGGATCGCTCCGCTGGGAGGCTCCACTGTAGCCGGACAGCTCTGAAACACAATTATGAGTAATAAGTATTAACACAAATACAACAAAGGACGCAATGAAATGTTTTGGATGTTTTCTTTAGGAACGTGGAGTTTTCCATGAGCTGAAAATGGTCACCTTTGTCTTGTGTGTTTAAAGACTTACATTTTGCAATTAACAATAACATCAGTTATTATGTACATTAAGAAGATTAACAGAGGAGTTCATACTCTACATCTGCACGAAGACTTTCTCCTAAACATTTGTTAAGACACATTAAAGTCTGACTCGTCAAAAATTAGTACAATCAAGGGATTAATACAGCAAAATGTTTGTTATTGTCAGAGCATTTATTCATTATTCATCATAAGTCCTAAAAATTTGATCAAGAAAATAAATGTACAATAAATCACAACAATTACTGGCTACTTTAGTTGTACCTGGGGTTTAGACCCATTTAACCCAGACACTCTTGCTTAGATTCAGGACTATTAACATGTGTTTTAATCTCTAGAGTTACACTGAATCTCAGTTAGTTTCATTTAAAATGAAAACCAGTGGTTTGGGATCATACCTGCAGTGACGCTAGTGACTTCTCTGACAACATCCATCATATAAAACAAACATTTATGCACCAGATACTTAATAATAATTTACAAGTTAAAAAGGATGTTTTACAGGGTGTATTTGTGCAGCCAAAAGCCCCTTAATCCCCCTACTCTGCGGCATCCTTTATTCCACGGTCGTATTGATAACGATCTTTTGTTAAGCACACTTTATATAGATCTCATGTAAGGTTGTGATTCCATTGTGTTGACAAAACCTATCCAGAGGCAGACAAACACCTTTGCTGAAACCTGCCGTCATAATTAAACTGCCCTTGTAATTTCTCCTGTGCCTTCATGATACACACAGACATTAAACTCATAAGAAACTGCAGCTGGGACTCACCTTTTTACGTTTCCTCTGCCTCGCCCTGCCATCCACACTGCCGTTACCTTGTAGGACGGGCTTTGACGAGTGTGAGGACCCTGGGGTGGAGGGAGGGGTGGCTTCAGGTGAGTCTGGATCCTTCTTCACCTGCTGGGGAGGAAGACGAAAGACAGATGATATTTACTCAGTAATATTATGATGGTAGATTTAGCGATTGATAGGTCTCAATGTGTGATGAAGTGTGTGTATGCACCTCAGCATGTGTGTTGTAGTGGATGTAGCTGGCAGAGATCACATGACTGACTGGATTCGTCTTTGCTGTCATTTCCTGCTTCACCAAGAGCGACAAATCCACGATCTGAACGAAGGAAAAGCATTTTAAAACAGGGGAAAGCTTTTAAATTACACGCACATATGCAGTGTTGGGAAGGTTACTTTTAAAATGTATTCCATTACAGA